CTCCTCCTCCTCCTCCTCCTCCTCACCTAGCGCTCCATCAGAAGCGCACCGCTTGCAGCCATCACGGAGGAGATGCGCGGCGCTTGCCCCGCGGCCGCGCGCTTCTTCCCTTGCTGTCTCAGAAGTGCTGGGTCCGAGACTTCACTTCTGACACCTAGCTGATGTACCAAGAGGACGACGCAGGCATGATGCGCACACGCTGTATTTCATGCAGATGTGAGCCCCCCGCGGCATCTAACGAATCCAATTAATCCAAAGACGCGTCGCCGCGGCGTTGGACGCTTGCAGGTATATAGGTACATAATACCATTCACATTGAGATTGCTATTAAGCTAGCACACCAATCGATCGAGCGTGCAGAAGCGCCTCTCTCTCTCCCATTGACGCGACTCGATTCTCATCATCTCCGTGTTTAACAGCTTACCAACGAGGCCGACTGCAAGGGCAAGCCCGTCGGCTTGGACATGAAAGCGCAGAACGATTGCTGCAGCTACGGCCGATGGTGATCCCGATCTAGGATGACAATGGTGAGTGTGAGTGATCACTACAATCTTAATCACGAAGAGGTACTCTGCGATCGCCGCCTGGCCACAACTGCAGTACAAAGCACGCGGCTGTTGATTTGTCTCGGGCAACTCACCACGCAATGTCGGCTTGTTCTCGCCCATGCCTGTTTGTCTTAGATCGCGGTCCATGCACTGCATGCATACAAAGGCCACGAATGACGGTCTGGCTCATGTCGTGCGGCATACAGTAGGCGCGATCGAGCTGCTCTACTGCAGCAGTCGTGAGTAGCTGCATGCATGCTGCTGCACGCTGCCGATGGGCTGTTGCTGCATATGTACGCGCGGCTGCAAGACCACTCACTCTGCGGATCTCACTTGCGCGTTATGACAGTCGTGAGTCCTGCGCAGCGCCTCGACTTTCGGTCCTCTGCCCGGCTTACCACGCGTGACCACCGAAGGCTGACCAGCTGGGGCCACCATCAGGAATCCTGCCTGACCACCTCCTCTGAAAGTCATCACTCACCATCAACCACCCTCGTCTCGCCAACGGCTCTTCGTACCGCATTTTACTCCCTTCGTGAACTCTCATTCGACTCTTTCCGCCTTCTCCCGGCCCTCGGACCGAACTGAAGCACGCGCATCGCCGGCGCTGGCATCGACCCGAGCCAATTACCGCAGCACGCTTGACTTATTCGTGGATCCGAGAACCACTCAGCGCAGCCTCGTCTTCAAAGCAGCGACGCACAGAAGCGGACCTGCTCAAGACTTTGCTGGCTTCAGCAACCGCCACGTCTGCGCAGCGGGCCGTCATTACGACCATCTGCACCCGTTCCAGCACATGTGCTCGAATTAATCCCGTGTCCACCAACGCCGGCGATCGACAGGGGGACGCGATACCCTGTGCCCGGCCTTTCATACTCTTGGAGTGGGCACATACCTGGATAGGCCTTTGGCTGATCCATCGACACTCTCATCTTGAGGCCCGAGGCTCGACGTCCTCGACGCATCAGCCTGCGAAGCGCTGCTTCTCTCGCAGATCAAAGCACCTCTGCATGCCCAACGCAAAGACCTTCCACAACGGGCACGCAAAGCAGTGATGGCAGCTTCAGCAATGGACAACGACGATGCGGGCCGCGTCGGAAGTGGTGGTGTCCGATCGCGCTGGACCACCTGGCGCAGCAAGTGGCATGGCCATGGTACGCCTACGCAGGCCGACATAGACGATGGTCTGTGGGATACGGTGAGTACTGGTAGACGCAGCGGGCCACTCTTAGTACTGCATGCATGATACTCACCATAGAATCGCAAAACGCGACTTTCTACTCGCAGAACGATGATGGCTTCCTTCAAGACGTGGCGGAGTCAACCTCGAAGTCCTTGCCACAGTCACACCTCTACACCATGTTTTCGAGCCCCAATTCAGATCGCGCTGCTGAGAACTTTTCACGGCCTCAAGGTCCTCAGCAGCGCGTAAGTGACTCCAGTAGCGGCAGCGGTGACCCTTCGCATGAGAGCAGTTCTCGCCCCACCTCATACACCAGCTCAGCCTTCTCACCCACCTTGCATGCCGCCGGCCCAGACTCAGCGCCGGTCGGTCCAGGCGGCTTCATCCAAGCTTCACCCCTACTTGGCGGGTACGACCTTCGTAAGGCTAAGATCTCGTCGCCCTCGAGCCAGTCACCTTCTGCCCGTTCCTCACCTCAAGCACCAAACTTCACCTTTAAGCCGATCGAAGGCGAGGAGGGCAGCTCAGCTTACTATTCCGTCGAAACTGACCTGCAAGAGCAGCTGCGCTCCTCGCTCGACTTCGCCAGCAATCGCGCGTCAGCATATGCGCATGGTGGACGGAAGAATGCGCTGCTGAGTCGTCAGGCGAGTAGCTCTTCGTTGAATCACATCGACTCAGCCGCATACCCGCGCACACCCAGTAATGCCAGCGTGCTTGGGCCCGAGGGCGAAACTCGGCATTTCGTGCATGCACATACGTCGATGGGGAGCCCAAGCAAAGACTATGCTTTTCCCGGGACAAGCTCCAGTGTATTCGCAAGCTCGTCTCGAATAGGCAGCCAATTATCGAGGTGGGAGCCGCCATCTCCAAGGACGACGATCCTTCCTCTCGAATCAGCATCTAAGGGAGGGAATGCGTCGGGAAATTACGGTGATCCAGGATCGCCGGCTGGGTCTTTGGCCAAGCGCCGATTTGGCCGGCGTGAGAAGCGCTCGCCGGAATCGCCTGTTCTGCCAAAGATTGATAGCATAGGCAGCGCGTTTGGGAGCGATTATGCCTTGGGACAGTCAAGCTTCGAAAGCCTCGGGCCAAGCGCTCTAAAAACCAGCGAGACCCCTCCGCTAGGTGGTCCCCGCCGCACATCGATTGTAAAAGGTACCCTCGTTTCGGGGCTGCGCAAGTTCATGCAAAGTTCACACTCTCCAAGCGCTAGCACCGACCTCGCCAGCAAGCAGATGTCAAGAGCAAGCAGCAAGGCAAGTCTGGCACAGTCCGCGTCAGGGGATCGGCTGGGCCGTAGGCCAAGCCACGTCGAGATGGACGACACTCCCGCCACTGCAGCACAGCCCGGTTACGACAACATCCAACTTGTGAACGAAGCGTCCGCTCTATCGGGCTGGCAGCAGACTAGCATCGACGAGCACACGACCCCGACCAATGTCGACATCCCGCAGCATCCCATGCTTCAAGAGCTCCCTGCAGGTGCCGCGCTTCGCAACGTTCTGGCGCATCGGCCTTCTACCGCACCGTCGCAGCAATTGTTCCATACCCAAAGCGAAGAGCCGACTTCACTTGATTCATACGGGCAGGCATCACTCGATGTCGGGCCAAATTACCCTTTAAGACCTACCAACGTCCGTCAGCCGAGCGCCCCGACGTCAGCAGAAGCCGCTGCCGTCGACTCCGGTTGGTCATTCAGCAACCCAGATCGACGCAAGCCTAGTTTTGACAGCCTTGCTGCCAGATTGACTTCACGAAGTCCAAACATCGAGCGCTCAGCTTTGCGTGGCGCTTCAGAAAAGGTGTCAAGCAGGCGTTCAAGCAGGGCAAGCGTCATTGATGTCATCCACGATGAGCCACGGCGTCGAGGGATATTTACGGGCTCGAATTTGGTGATCCCGTCACAGTCGCGGCCGAGCAGCCGCGGCGACGGTATCGAAGAGCTCGACGTGGAACTTCACTCCGCGCCCGCTCGCCCTTTGCGCGAGAATATTGTGCGCCCGAACAGTGCGCGTTCCAGTATTCCGGTCTCGGATTTTCACGATATCGCTGCAACGTTCAACGCAGCGCACACCAAGCGATGGTCAGGCGCGCTGTCGCAGGCGAGCGCTACTCAAAGCTTGGGAGCTCGAAGGGGTAGTGTCGCATCTTTTGTTAGTCGTCGAGGAAGCGACGCTCCATTTTTCAGCCGCGCGTCGCTGTACGGTGTTGCTAACGGAGACGCCAGGAAAAGCTTCGGTCTCCAAGGAGATGCTTCGCGAGAGCACTTTGCAACCGCGTCTGTCGATGACTTCCGCCTGCTAGACGAAAGTGCTTGCAGAGAACGTAGAGGCTCAAGAAGCAAGACTGCCCTGAGTGATGGCGTTCCACTACCTAGGCCAGCTCGGCGCTCGTTCGTCGGCCAAGGATCAAAGCGATGGTCTGGGCTTGCTTTTGGCGGGAGCAAGCCGCTGAAGGTCGACGGGTCTTCTATTTCCCGACCAACTTCTGTAGCTTCGTCTGCATTCTCAGACGCTGCAGCTGACATGCTGGTGGACAAGTCTCCGCGCACGCCGACCACGCCTGGCCTTCGAGCAGCAGTGGCCGCCGGTGACCTCGACACTGAGGCGATCGTGCGCCGAATGCAGCGCAACAGCGACCAATCCAAGCGACGACTAAGCCCACTTGAAGCCGACAGCCAGACAGCCCCTGAGGAGCCACGTATGCGAGTGCCCTTCATGGGGGCCAGGCCAAACACATCGGCCTCGCAGCAACACATGCAGTGGACCGCGACCGGTGAACGTCGTGCCCTGTCCTCTGTGCTCGATCCGGTGCGCAGACCTTCCACGAGTGACGCCGTTCCCGTCAATGGCGCCCGATCACCCCTGCTCCAGCATTTGCATGCTGCGCACTTCCAAATGTTGCAGGGCAAAGCGCTGCAGACGTCAGGAGATCAACTACCGGAAGCAACACCAGCCGTAGTGTCGAAGACAACGCGAGTCAGTAGCGCTCGCCCGGGCAGCGGGGACACAGTGGCCTCAAAGTCGAGCAATTTCCGGCGACCAGCTGAATTCAATGACGCCGCTTTCGATGCTGTGAGTCTGTCCTCCCTGGGCACTTGAAGTCTCGCTACAGGCTGATCGTCCTTCGTACTCGCATTTTGCAGACTGCTGCCTTTGAGAGCATACCCAGTCCATTGCCTTTTGCTCAACTTCCACAGCAGAGCTCAGCGGCCCCTCACTCGGAAGCCCAAGGAACGTCTGCGGACCTCCTCAGTGCAGCGGCAGCGGCGGCTTCAGGCGACTCTCACAGACGAATCACAGAGGGCGAAAGGAGCAAGCCCGAGCCCCTGTTGCTGTCTCCACCTTTCGATCTCGAGGGCGCCCCAGAGTCCCCCGCAGATCCTCACTTGACGTTCAGCGATGGCGAGGACACCGATGACGGGAAATCTGAAGGACGCGTCTCTTTGAACCTCGATCGAGATCTGGTCGCAAGTCCAAGGCCGCCACCACTTGACGCGCCATGCTCGCCCGGCACGGAAGCCGACGAGAGTGAGATGGAGCTCCTCAGCGACAGCCATTTTGTATTCGGAGATGACCACCAGCACTTGCGCAAGCGCAGCACAGATTCACTCAGAGACCGCGCGTCGCTGAGCGACCGGCCAGCAATACCGCGACGCTCATCTTCGTCTTCATTGACCGGCAAATCTCCACCTTACACGACGGCGCTCTCGTCCGCAACGGCAAGCCACAGATTGGCCCTTCCGAGGTCTGCAAGATCCAGCTTCGACTCTGTTCACAGCGTTTTGAACAGCGCAGCGGAGCTAGCAACTGTCCCTTCGGCTGGCCAAACAGCTACGACAGCCGGTGACAGACGCTCGTATGCTTTCGTATGATTCTGATGCATGCCTTTGCTCGTCTTCACATCACTTGCTCTCTGCTGCTTCAGACCTCGTGTCTCTGATCGAGCAAGCTTCCTCGTCTCTTCATCGACCACAAGACATGTACGAATACCGATTTACGCCATCGCCGATGACTGCAATTACAGCACTGTATTGATCACTGGGCCGCCGGGACAGTGACCTCGATTGTTCGAGCTATGCGAGTCATGTATCATCCTCCGCCTTTGCACAGGCACTCAAACGATATTCAAAGGAACCACGAGCAAAGACGAACAATCAAAAAGTGAGGTGGTGGGCCCTTGGGGGCAAGCGATTGTCATTCGCTGGTGCCGCTGCTGTCGGCGTGATGGTATAAGGGAGATGTATGCATGAGGCCGCCCGATTGAAAGGGCCAGTAAAGCCATGCGAGTGAGGGTGCTTTTGACGCGATGCTATGAGATATGAGAGTGAGGCCGCGCCAAGGGAAAGGCCTCGAAGCGATGCGAGTGCGATGATATACAGATATGAGCGAGACAGATGCCGACCGCTGGGATGAAGGCAGACAGTCGGGAAAGGCAGATGGATGCTGATGCTGTGATGGACGCGCGTGTGCAATCACGTGATGCGATTCCTCTGCTCCCACTTTTTGACTCAACTCGCATGCAAGACTCTGGCTGACCCGTAATGAACCTGTTTCGACTTCCCATCTGAACTGAAGTAGCGGTGCAAGGAACTCATCTGTAGGCCTACCCTACCAGGAGTCCACCCACGACTGCAGGAATCACGACTGCTTTCACCAGTGCTCGGTCAACACTCCCGTTCTTCGACTGTTGACTTTTGCTGTCGTGATGGGAGTCGCTCAATCGCCAATACGCCAGGTGCCTGCCAGGTGCTCGCTCGATCTCGCGGATGTTTGAGCTGCATACATTCACATTCAAGTCAAACAAATCAACAAGAAAAATGCTCAAAAAATCAAGAATTTATGTACAACAGCGCGAATTGCGTCGAGGACGCGCGTGTCGCATTTTCCGTGAATATGTAGCTCGGTCTCGTATTTACCAAGGATCATGCGCGCGCGCCGAACATTAAGGGAAAAACGGATGTCTGCCGTTCGACGCGCCGCCTCATCGCCTAAAAACCCATCATCTTGCGAATGAGGCGTCGCAGGTAGTCGAGAGTTGAGAGTAGCCGCCGGCCTAAGCCGGGGGTCGATCGAGACTTGAGATAGTCGAGAGTTGAGAGAAGCCGCCGGCATAAGTCGGGGGCCGATCGAGAGTCAGATGGCCACCGAGCCGAGCCTGGAGGGGCTCTCCAAGAACAACTCGCCCGGAGGGGATAAACTAGCGGGAAGGGCCTAAGGCCATCCTCACAACCACAGCCATGAGTCTCGACCAAAGGCCCAAATAAACAGCTTGTCGGGTACCGATGAAGAACCATAAGATCATAAGATCATTCCTTTTTGCTCCGATCGAAGAGTTCTTAAGAGGCCCAAATATGCAGCTTGTCGGGCCGGATGAAGAACCATAAGATCATTCCTTTTTGCTCCGATTGAAGAAGTTTCTCTATCCCTCTTTGCTCTCGCACCGCACATCTAAGAGCGCTTGTGAGGTGTGCAACCCCACACTATCTGTAGGTCAGCTTACATTGGACACCGCTCAGAGCAACTGGTCAGAGATTGTATCTTGACATCGGCAACTGGTCAGAGATTGTGTCTTGAAATTGAGACCTACGTCGTAAGCAAGGGGCTGTACATGGGTACACGCGAGAGAGAGAGAGAGAGAGTGTGTGTGTGTGTGTGTGTGAGTGTGTGAGTGAGCGAAGAGTAATCGTAGTACAATGAAGCACACGCGCTGGCGAAGACGAGGGTGGAATGAGACAGGCAAGGAAGCCAAGTCGTGCAGGTTCAAGATCCTGACGAGCGCTCAAGCCTTGGGAGCATCTCCCCAGCGGTCTAGGCTTCTTCAACCTGGGCATCGGCCAGGTCAGCTCTTACGTATCCCGGTTTCTCCCATTTTTCGCTGTACATCCAAAGACCTTTCGCTCCACCTCTCGCCTGACCATGCTGCCAGGCGGCCATGAGCATAGCCACAGGAACGACGATGATAGAGAGGATAGAAACGACTGCTACGAAAGCCACGCTTTCGGTCCATCTCTCCAGTGCCATGTGCATGCCGGTCGAAGACAATGGGAAAGTGGCTGCTGGAAGTTCGTCGACGCTGAGCACAGCGACTAGACCGCTAAGCCAGCAGATAAGCAGAGCCAGGAAGCCAGATCTGAATGTTGGAAGTGTGCGAAGAGCAAAGGCGGAGTTGGGAAGGGCGATACTCTCCATCAAGATGGGGATACGACCTAGACGGTCCTCCACGGTAATCTTGTTCTCGGGCATCAACGGCAGCTTCTCGTCCAGCAAGGCCGTGCGCTCCGTGGTCTCGCTTTGCGTACCGTTGCGCTCAGCTCGCAGAGCTGCCTGAGCCTCGAAGCGCTCTCGACGAACGACGGTCGATTGTACGAGCGCCGCGTCGGCCTCATCTGCATCTGGGACGGTAAGTTCTCCCAGGTCGAAGCGTGCGCCGAGCAGAATCATTTGGGCAGGAATGATCAAACAAAAGGCCCAGATGAATGGGGCGATGATGCACATGAACTGAGCGATGGGCTGTAAAAGGAGTCCATGGAAGGCCGATGGCAATGCGTCAGCGGTATCACCGCGACGATGACTGACCCGCGACGCCGAGAGAGAGCAGCCCTTGACTCACCAGATCTTTGTCGAAAGCATCGGACCAAGTAGTGAGAGCACTCCCGATGAACTTCATCCATCCATCCTGCCCAGAGCTGGCAGGCTCGGCTTTGGGCGCCTTGGTCTTCGTTTCGCTGTAGGAATCCACCATGGCAGCAATGATTCCAGGCAAGAAGCAAACAGCCAAATATC